CAAACTAAATAAAACTAAAAACTTAATAAAAGACCTATACAGACATAATAAATTCAGACATAATTGAACTAAAATTAAAATAAATAACAAATACAAATAATACAAATCAAATGACAGTAGTTTCAATAATCCTAAAAAATAACACTGCCAGACTTACATGCTAAAAAACAACAACTTACACATAGTAAGAAATGGTTATAAAAACTGAAACAGAAGCGAAACTAGTAGGAAAGAGGAGAAATAAAAAGCGATACTTATCCTTTGCCGGTGTCCCTGCCCACTGCGGTCAGGCCAGCCTCCACCCCGAAAAACACGGGACAATTTGTTCAAAAATTACAGTAAAAAGACATTAAATGTTATGAAAGATTTCGATTTCAAATAAATGCTGTTCTTTTGAACTTTTTATTCATCATAGAATCCGGAATATTTCTTGACTGACAAATCAGCATGTTAGAATGATTTCTGAAGGATCATGTGGCACTGAAGAGTAATACAGTAGGTATGGAAAAGAATCACCCCCTTTAAAATAATAAAATTTTGTTGCTTTGTAGACAGACAGTTTTTGTTTTATCCAGCTGTATTTACTCAGTGCAACTTATAACATCCAAGTGAATGATATAATAATGTCAGAAAAAATAAATCACAGAGTTGGAAAAAGGACCACCCCCTTGTGTCAGTATTTGGTTGATCCTTTTGATTTAATTACGGCCTTTAGTCTGTTGGGATGTGTCTCTACTAACTTTGCACATCTAGACTTTGCAATATTTGCCCACTCTTCTTTGCAGAACTGCTCAAGTTCAGTTAAATTTGATGGTGAGCATTTGTGGACTGCAGTCTTCAAGTCATTCCACAGATTTTCAGTGGGGTTTAAGTCTGAGCTCTGACTAGGCCATGCAAGGACATTCACCTTTTTCTCCTTCATCCACGGTGTGCTCCGTTTTGTTGTGTGCTTTGGGTCATTGTCATGTTGGAAAGTAAACCTTCCCATTGACAACTTTCTGGCAGAGGGCAGCAGATTTTCCTCAAGAATTTGATGGTATTTTGCCCGATCCATTTTTCCTGGCGTCCTGACACACCAATACCAAAACACCCATAACAGGATATTACCATCTCCGTGCTTCACTGTAGGAATGCTGTTATCTGGATGGTGAGCTGTATTGGATTTCTGCCAGACATATGCTTGGGTGTTGAGGCCAAATAATTCAATTTTAGTCTCATCTGCCTCAGAATCTTCAAGGTGCATTTTGGCAAAACTCAGTCGTGACTGCATGTGGCCTTTGAGGAGTGACTTTTTTTTCTTGCAACCCTCCCATATAAGCCACATTTGTGGAGAATGTGATATTGTTGTCGCATGCACACAATGACCACTCTGTCATAAATTCCTGCAAATGCTTCAGAGTTGCTGTAGGCCTCTTGATAGCCTCTCCGAGTAGTTTCCTCCTGGCTCTTTCATCCAGTTTGGAGCGACGTCCTGATACAAGGAGGGTCTGTGTTGTACCGAACACCTTCCACTTCTTAATAATAGATTTCACTGTGCTTCTAGGCATTGATAAAGCCTTTACATTTTTTTGTATCCATCTCCTGACTTGTGCCAGTCCACAACTTTATCCCGGAGATCTTTTGACAGTGCCTTGCCACCCATAGTTGATTGTTTGCTTCAGTTGCACTACCAAGGACTGAAATGCTCCAGGAAAGCTCTTTTCATGCTGAGCTAATCAACATGACCACAGCTGATCACAGTTGAAAGTCAAATGGCTTTGTGTGCCATTGAGAAAGTGATTAGCTACACCTGATTGAGTGTACACGTCATTTAGGAGTGGGTGATCCTTTTTCCAACTCCTTGATTCTGTTTTTTTATATTTTCTTTCTGACATGTTGGTATTATATCATTCACTTGGATGTTATAAGTTGCACTGAGTAAATACAGCTGGATAAAACAAAAACTGTGTAAGTCTTCAAAGCAAATTAATGTGATTATTTTAAAGGGGGTGATTCTTTTCTTGACCCACTGTAACTGGTAAAAATTCGGCTTTGCCATGACAAGAATAAATTAAGTTTTAAAACAGAAAAAGTTATTTTAAATTGTAATCAAATTTCACAGTATTACTAGTATAATATAAATGCAGCTATAATGAGTGTAAGATACTTTCTTAAACATTAAAAAATCTTACCAACCCCTTATGATCTTTTGAATAGTAGTGTATATTTAACGTAACAAACAAATGTTTTTGACATCTCTGTGGTTAATGATGGTTAAATACGCTTTGTTGTCGTAGGTAATGGTTGTCGGACCAACTGATGTGGGAAAGTCAACAGTATGTCGAGTGTTGCTGAACTATGCTGTGCGACTGGGACGAAGACCTACACTGGTAGAACTGGATGTCGGTCAGAGCAGCGTAAGTAAATGAAGCCTGAACGATCAGTGCAACATCTGCTGAACATTACAGGCTTGTAAGAAATGAAGCATTATATGTGTGTTTAACTGTTATTGTCCGTAGGTCTCTGTGCCTGGAACTATGTCAGCTCTGTGCATTGAGCGTCCTGCTGATGTAGAAGAAGGCTTCTCTGTGCAGGCTCCACTTGTCTTTCACTTTGGCTCTACCACACCAGGAACAAACATCAAACTTTACAACAAGGTAATGACAAAATTGCACCTAAGGGAGTGTTGTCTTTACACTTCAGTGTTATACTGAGCTTTGGCCCGTAAATTATTAGAACAGATTGAGCTTGGCCCTAAACAGAAAGTACCAAACTATCCTGGCACTGTTTAATCAATAATAGCAAGGAGAAGATGCATTAATCTTTCCCTTAATGCAACTATAAAGTCTAGTTCTTCTGCAATTGTTAATACAAAAACAATAAAGTCAATTTCTGTAGCAGCAACTGAAGGAGAAGTAGTACTCCCCAGTTGCATGATGACGTGACAATAATGAATCATCTTTTGCATGTTTAAAATCATTGCACAGCAACAGCAGTACTGGTATTACTAGAATGAAAGTGTTTACTTCACTATCATATATGTATGTTCCTGGTTCTTGGTCCATCAATGCATGTTATTCCAAATTTAAAAATGTATGTCTTATTGTCTTTTATTTTTAAATGAATAGTATGTACCTACTGTATTCAATATTTCATACTGCTTTATATAATATTAGCAGGTTAAATGTTACTTTTTTTTTTTGGTCAAACCTGCAATATTTTGGGCTGCTTAAAGAAAAAATATTCCTTCCCTATAGTCAAATACTGTCAGATTATAACACACAACCATTCAAACGTTTGGAGTCAGTACAATTTTTTTTTTTTTAGAAATGAATACTTTTATTCAGCAAGGATTCATTAAATTTTCAAAACTGACACTAAAGATGTATACTGTTGCAAAAAATATATATATTTCAAATAAATGTTCTTTTGAACTTTCAATTCAGAGAATCCAGAAAAAAAAACAGTATCACAGTTGTTCACTAAAATATTAAGCAGCACAACTGTTTTCAATGTTGATAATAAAAATAAATGTTTCTTGAGCACTAAATTATCATATTAGAATGATTTCTGAAACATCATGTGACACTGAAGACCATCAAAAATTCAGCTTTGCCATCACATGAATAAATATTTTATTGATAGTAATTTTAAAGTGTAATAATATTTCACTATGCTTCTGTTTTTACTGTATTTTTGAACGAATATGCAGCCTTGATGAGCTTAAGAGACTTCTTTCAAAAATATTACTGACCCCAAACTTTTGAACAGTAGTGTATGTCAGATTACAGATGTAACATGGGTTGCGAATGCCGTTTTTATGTTGACTTTAAGTTGATTCAGTATGCATCATCCAGATATATTAATAAAATGTGTTTGAATGAGTCTCTTTTTTTCTCTTTGGGTGTGTAGCTGACTTCAAGCCTTGCAGAAGTATTTTCCCAGCGCTGTGAGGTGAACCGCAGGGCTAGTGTGGGTGGCTGTATAATCAACACCTGTGGCTGGGTCAAAGGTTCAGGCTACCAGGCTCTGGTCCACTGCGCTTCAGCTTTCCAGGTGGATGTTGTGCTAGTCCTGGACCAGGAGCGTCTCTATAATGAGCTTAAACGTGACCTGCCACACTTTGTACGTGTCGTCCTTCTGCCAAAGTCCGGCGGCGTGGTGGAGCGCTCTAAGGACTGCCGACGAGAGACACGGGATGAAAAGATCCGGGAATACTTCTACGGCTTTCGTGCAACTTCCTTTTACCCTCATGCCTTTGATGTGCGTTTTTCAGAAGTGCGTATTTACAAGATCGGTGCACCCTCAATTCCAGACTCCTGTCTCCCTCTGGGTATGTCCCAGGATGACACCCAGCTCAAACTCGTCCCAGTCAGCCCTGGCAGGGATTTAACCCACCATGTGCTGAGTGTGAGTTCGGTGGATGATGATGCCGAGGTGGGTGCGGGACAGAGCAGAGGGATTCTAGAGAGTCCTGTGTGTGGCTTCATAGTTGTGACAGCGGTGGACACACAAGCTCAGGTGATGACGGTACTCTCACCAGCACCCAGACCGCTGCCGCGACACACTCTGCTCATCATGGACATTCGTTTTATCGACCTTAAATGAAGCATATAAGTCTAGCAGAGATCTCCACTCAAAAGGGACACTGTGTTATCACATCTGTTAAGTTCTTACAAAATATTTATTTAAGGGCAAATTTTAATGATTTTGTACATAAGAAAAAAAAACTTCTGTATTTTTTCTTTAAATAAATTCAATTGCAATTTCATCCTTCTGAACAAACAATAAAACAAACCAAAACCAGTTTGACTACATGTTATTCTGCATGCCTTTTTTCAAAGAAATTACATCCTTTGAGCAAACTAATTGAGCAAATATTAATTTGACATTATATCTATTGACAAAAATCTCTTCCGGATCCTTTCCTGCATGTCCTATACAGGTGACTTTTTAAATGATGCTGGGGCCGAAGAAGAAGATGATGATGCCTTGTTAAGGGTTTTATTTTTGGCTTATCAGACTCTGTATCGGATAAACGACTTGGGGAGTTTTCAGCCCCGGGCGTACAGAGATCAAAAGCCTTTTCCCGGGCCCTAAAAAGACTGAGATTAAGGGAGAGAGAGAGAGGGTAGAGAGAGCTGAAGCTCCTCTCCCATCAGATAATACCGCTGCCCCGGGCCGGGATGCAAAAGAGAAACCGAGTCTCCAAATCACAGGACGTGTGAATAAACGCCAGGCATTTAAAGTACGTAAACATTCGGGATATCCGACACTGCGTGAGTATATTCGAGTGGATGACATTCATAATAGATGTGTTGTTTAATTAAAAATGTGTGGGCAGGTCGCTGTTTGCTTCTGATCTGTTTCGACATCGGATCGATATCGCCGCATTTGAGCTTCTTTCAGTGTTGGCTCTAACAACTGGAGTCCGAGGCTTCACTCTGAGGCCTAGTTAAACAAAGCAAAACACGAAGCAAAAAGTTAAATGATCGTATTTTGGTGCGGTTTATAAGTTAATTGTGCTAATATTTGATCAATATGTATTTTTCTTGTGTTTTGTAATCCAAACTGCCTTGTTTTACTGCGTAAGGTAGTATTAGCTGGAATGGTAAGCTAACCAAAAACGGGACACAACCGTAGTGTTTTTGACTCAGATGTTGCTTTTTTTGTGTGAAATTGTTTATGCTTTGAAATTTAACTAACTTCTGGACTCAATTAACCCGTTTGGTTTATGATTTTGCTGTAGTGAATGACTGTGTCACCTAATGAGTTGCCTACCTAGACAGCATTTTTGGGCAATATAGTTCTATTCAGATGTGTGCAATCCACATATGATGCCCTGAAATGCTTTCTATGTAGATAGGCAGCTTACAAGGCTTTTAAATATAGATTTATTCTTACTCCGAGTGCACTGCAGTCATCTATATAGTAAACTGGAGTTGACTTATAAACATCACAGCTAGCCTTTTTTGACAAAAAAGGTCAATTTTGTAAAACTATTAAATTGTTAAAATGACTATTGTGGGTGAGTGACATCCTAACATAATTTTCCAGTTTGTTATTGATTATGTGGTACAATCAGATATCATCTGACATCCATCATTCTTTTCATTATTGATTCAAAGTTGATGGTAAGATATGATTTAACGTTTATGAATGAATCAAATCTATATATATTTCCCATGTGAAGTGAATTAGTTTTCAGGTGGTACTGTGAATGAAGAGAGCAGGAGTAGCTGCAAGAAAAGAAGATTATGAGTGGTGTAATAAGGCTTGTGTATGCGAGACTCAAGGTCACTGCGTGGTCAGTGTGGCAGTAAACCCAAGGAGAAAAAGGGGATTGTAAAGGGGGGATGGGGTTGAATTGTATACAGAAAACCTGGTGGAGAAAACAGTAAAAAAGAGGCACACCCTTTCCTGGTGAGTCAGAAGTTGTGACAGGGGGCAACAAAAGTGTGATCAGGTTTCAACACGTTGTGTGTGTACACAGATGTAGGTTTCACAATTCATTGCTTTATGTTCCGTCTTGTTCATGTGATCATTCGTATGATATTGGCTGCTTGGAACCGGTATGGAGAACTTCAAGAATGTGTAAGATCAGGTCATGAGTTTATATCTACGCGTTTAATTATCTTCTCTTCTTATAGATACCGCTCAGGCCTGTTAAGGAATCAGAAAGGAGGAGGGCGGCATTTTAGACTCATCAATCTCATCCTTGTGAGGAAGAAGGGCCTCATGGGACACTATGCAGGGTTAAAATGGTTTTGCACGCTCATGTGTTATCACAACCTGGAGTTATCAACCCCGGACGCATACGGATCGTGTGCAGTTGCGATGGTAGACACGCACTCTGGTGTGGGCGTACATTTTTTGCATATGGATTGCATCTGAAAAGCAACTTATCATGTGGATATCTGCACTTACAATATTCATGTGACCTGGCAAACCGTGTTTTTCTGCTCACTTTTCGGCCAGTTTGGCTCTCTTCAAAGTGTGAGCATAGATCACCTCAGAGTGGAGAATGAGCTCTCATTTAGGGCACAAGACATCAAGAGCTCTGTTTCATGATTTGTACTCGTAATTACGGTCTTTTCTTAGACGGACTGTTCCAGAGGGAAATCCAGACTCCATTGAGATTATAGAAAGAAAGTCATTTTTTTGTCTTGTAGTTTCTTATTTTTCCCTCATACATTTTGTTTCACTGTATACCTCCCATCAAAACTATTTTTTTTTCCTTTCTGTAGTCTGACGTCATTCTCACATGCACTCATCTGAAATGATGCTTTGAAAGATATAAGATTGGTCTCTGAGCGAGTATTGTATGAATGCCTGAACTCAAATTGCTGCTTCCTTTTGCTGCTGCTCTTTTTGGTGTAACACGGGGCTTACCAGAGATTTGCACTAAAAGAGCATTGCTGTCACTCGATTTTCCTTTTATTGACCAAATCTTGTTACATTCAAGCCATATGAACTTATTTTTGATGAAACTAGAGCTATTTTTGTATTACAGTAAAGTCATAGAAATATCGCATATTATGTGTATATGAATTTAGTCTATTTTTTATGTATCAACACAGACATATACAAAAAGACATCTGCACTATTTTACATTAACGTTTGTTTTTGGAAAGAAATGCACCTTGATTTATGTCGAGAACATAATCTATTTCACTAAATTTATTGTTATGGCCATGGCTACACACCATCCTCACTCAGGTGGGAGACGAGTTTTCTTCGCTCTCTGACGCCTCCCCCTGTTCCCTCGGTTTTTTGACATCTCCAAATGCCTGTGGGTCTTAGTGTGGGTGGGGCTCTCGGAGACCCTTCCCCATTCCGCCCCAGTCGTTATGTGCCTGTGTCCGCAGCAACCGCCTTCCTTGTGGGGGCCACAACACTGTTTCTCTGTTTTACGTGAGTAGAACTTAAATACATTAATATAGAAATTCAATGTATCAGTATTTCTGTAAGTGTAATGAGAGGCATCTCTGTGCAGGTGTCCCTGGCTGTCAGAGCGGTTCTCCTCAGAAAAGGCATTTATAAGATTTCTATTTCATATAAATGCTGTTCTTCCAACTCTCTATTATTTAAGATATTTATTAAGAATCTTGAAAAATGTAGCATGGTTTACAGAGAAATATTAAGCAGCACAACTGTTTTCAACACTGAAAATAATTAGAAATGTTTCTTGAGCAGCAAATCAGCATATTGATTTCTGAAGGATCATGTGACACTGAAGAATTCAGCTTTACCATCTCAAATACATTACATAAAAAAACGTATTGTAACAGTTAACAGTTACGGTTATATACAGGTATTACTGTATTTTTGATCAAATAAATGCATCCATGATGAGCGTAAGAGATTTCTTTTGAAAACATTACAAATTTTACTGACCCTAATCCTTTGATCAGTAGCGTATTTTACTATTCAAATTTATTTTTTCCACATATAAAAATATTCATTAAAATAAAAATTTCTGTCATGACAACTCTCGGAGGGATTGGCATGGTAATGTACATGACAATGTTAATGTATTTGGTCTTGGCGGAATAGATTTGCTACGCTGCTGCTTCTGCAGAGCAAATACCGAGACCAGGAGAGAACCAATCAGCTGTGCCATGTGATAATGATCATTAGTCATTAGGTCAGATTGAGTTAGACCTATCGGACTGCGCCATCTAGAGTTTCATGCCAGAACTCTGTATTACTTTAACGTGACACGTATAATGTAAAAGAAACCTTAGTGGTTCTCAAATTAGGCTTAATTTTTTAATGCAAAATATACTTGTCTTATATTTTCTGTTGAAGTATGACCTGGACATTTCTTAACCGTTTTCATGAGATTGTATGTTTTGCAGCTGAAGAAGATGAGGATAAAGAGGATGATTTCCGGGCTCCACTTTATAAGACGGTGGAGGTGAGGGGCATTCAGGTGCGGATGAAGTGGTGCTCCACATGTCGCTTTTACAGACCACCGCGCTGTTCACATTGCTCTGTGTGTGACAACTGTGTGGAGGTACACAGACATTCATCATAGTTTCACACTAAACAAAGTCTTCAGTGTTTGATTTAAGTCTTGTTGACTTGACTTATGCTTTTTTTATTGTCTAAATGCATGTGTGTCTGTGTTTAGGAGTTTGACCATCACTGCCCATGGGTGAACAACTGCATTGGGAGGCGTAATTATCGTTATTTCTTTCTGTTCCTGCTCTCGCTCACTATTCACATTATGAATGTGTTTGGCTTCAGTCTGCTATACATCCTCCATCACACTAAACAACTGGACCAGGTCCACTCTGCAGTCACGTATCCTTTACCCATAACGCACTTACATGCGCATGTGCACATAATGCAATCTCATGAATACACATCAACCTGTTCAATGTTTTTTGTTATCCTTAACACACTACTCAGTATGGCGGTGATGTGTGTAGCTGGCCTGTTTTTCGTCCCAGTTGCAGGACTCACTGGGTTCCATGTTGTCCTTGTATCCAGAGGGAGAACGACCAACGAACAGGTCCGTGTGTGTGTGTGTTCGGGTGTGTCCCTTGTCCACATTGTATGTGTTTGATCAAACCGAATGATGTGGTTTTTCTGCCTGATTTCTAAGGGCGTGTTCTCAAATTTCCTCTCTTCACCCTCAGGTGACTGGGAAGTTCAGAGGCGGCGTTAACCCCTTCACACACGGGTGCTTGAAAAACATTGCACACATGCTGTGTAGTTCACAGGCTCCCAGGTTCACAAATCTTATTTTCTAACAAATAAAGATGCGTTTTGCAGATTGTGTTGGATTTAAAGTTCTAATTTTATGTATATGTTTTTTGTACAGGTATCTTGGTCACTTGCGAAAGCCTCATTCTGTTCAGGTCCAGCCACCATTTCTGCGGCCACCTCTGTCTGAAGCCCAACTAGCAGCTAAAGTCCTGGATAATGGCATCCAACAGGTACAAACACATTATCATACACTTTGTTTTTATGCTAACAGTCATGGTTGACAGCTGCAGTGCTTTGCAGTGGAGTAGGTCAGTAATGCTAGTTTTTTTTTATTTTTGTGCAGTGTAAATTGATTTGATAATATAATAGATAAACAATAATATCAATTAAAGCATGTTATGTTAATGCTTGATCACTTTTTACCATGTTTTAGAGGTGTAAGTGATATGTGCTACTGGTTAAAGATCTGGGCTGCGTTTCCCAAAAGCATTGTTAGCCTAAGTAGATTATAGAACCACCGCCACCAATGGTCTCTGGGATCAACTTAGCTTGCAATGCTTTTGAGAAACGCAACCCTGGGGTCAAAACCTACAAACCCATAAGGTAAAAAACATTGAATGGTATTTTTAAGCCATAAATGTTTTTTATTAATGTTGGGCAGCCAGTAAGTGGTCATTAAATAGCTTATATAATGAATGCTAATTTATGTTATTAAAATATTTATTATTATGAATGTCATCTGTACCTGTTGTAGTCTAATGAATATTTGGATACTGTTGTGCATTTGTTTTAATATTGGTTCTGCTTTTCTGACATCTAAACAAAAATTATTCACATTGGTTGTAAAACTCAATATCAGTCAATCTTTTCCATCCTTAATTCACAAACTTTACACTGTCTTAATATTTGTCATGCTCTTGTTTTGTCTATGTAGAGAGCTGAAATTAGTTAACTTTCTTTTGAAAGTAATTGACATACATGTGAAAGATCTCACATAAGAGCAGGTTCCTAAAATCCCTTTAGATGAGTAAGCTATTTTTGTTAAAGAGTTGCTCTGTGTGTGTGTGTGTGTACTTCAGTCTAAAAGTAGTTTGGAGATAATGGAGAGTCAGTCCACTGATGCTGATCCCCCTCCACCACCTAAACCAGAGCACAGATACCCTGGGCTGCCTCACACACAAAATGAAGGTTAGTGCACACACAGATGTATCATACCCGTTAGATAATTTACAGCATCACTACAGCACTTTTTTGACTATTTTATAACTTGTTTTTTTTCTTTTCTTCCAATCAGAGTGCAGCTTGCTGACTGAGGCTCCACTCACACCTTCATTGTATAAATACGGGCCGGCCTACAGCAGTCCAGGAAAAAAACACACGGCCTCAACACATTCCAGCAAAGTAAGTCTAAGTGCGGTACACACAAATACAGGCAAGTTCAGGTACTGAAACTTTGGTAAATGTATTTTTTTGTTTGAGACAACCATGATCTACTGCACTTGAGGTTTGCATTGCATTTTTTTCTTTTTTTTTCTTTTTGTTAATACGTTGAATCCTTTCTTTTATTATTTTTCTTGAATATCTGAAATCACTGGCAGTCAGTGAGCGAGTAAGTTTAGATGTGAGTTATCCGTTGTTATGGTGTGTTTTGCACCTTGCTCTTGTGTTTCGTCATTTTGACTCTGCAGTTGTTGCGTTTGATTCAAGCTGGACTCTCTCCTGTTGCTGTTTTCCTCTCGTTCTGAAGCATAACTTGAATCCTTTCCTTTCCTTCACGTGAAAAATTTCCACCTTGGTGGACAATAAAGACACTCTACTGTTTCAGTGTTTTGTGTTCACTCGGAAATCTTTTGCGTTCGCCAGAGACACTTTGCATTTGCTTGTGTTGAAATATACGCTGTGTTCCATTCCGAAAAGCTCATCCCGATGCCCTAATCCCTTCATCTTCAAAGGGTTTAACCTCCAGAGTGAGAGCTTTAAAGGGAGGAAGGATGTAAGGGACCAAAAAACTGTTCCTTAGAATGCACTTCTCTATCATCTTGCCGGGCAGATTAAGGGGGTGGAAAGAATGATGGGAGCGAAGGTTCCATCGGTTGTACCCTTTGAAATCCTTCGTTCAGCAGGGCCCTTCTAAGTGGCCAGTTTTGAGCTCTTTGGTTTGGAACTGCCCTTAAAAATGGTGGCCATGATTGTTCTTACATTGAAGTGCCCTTCGGAGGTGGATTTATCCCATTTGGAACACAGCGATAGTTTCTCCTCACTCCACATTAGTTCCATGAAAGTTTTTCGAGCAAACACAAAAGTTTTGCTTGGGACTGCAAAGTTTTACGGTGGAACACAAAAGCATTGAAATGTAATTTGTCCTCCAATCTAATTTTTTCCATCACCACATCCCCTTAGGACAGGAGTCAAACTCAGTTCCTGGAGGGCCGGAGCCCTACAGAGTTTAGATTTAACCCTAATTAAACATACCTGATCCAACTAATCAAGTCCTTCAGGCTTATTTTAAAACTACATGGTATGAGTACTGGAGCAGGGCTGGAACTAAACTCTGCAGGGCTCCGGCCCTCCAGGAACTGAGTTTGACACCCCTGCCTTATGAGTTCCGTACGTCCCTTTATACAGTGTGGTTTGCTCAAACTTTCAGTTGTGTGCCATCTTTCATCTCTTTGGTGATGCTTCAGCTGCTGGGGATGTTTGGTGTACCTTTTTCTGTCTTTTTTTTTTCCTCTCAGATGAGTCGAGGGAACAGTATGACCGAGTCTCCCTCTGTCCCCGTCACCACTGGGCAGCCCAGCTACCGCTCAGACCCCAGTTTGTCAAGCCGAGGGGGTGCAGGGTTCCGTGGGGGAGGGGAGGGAGGTAGAGCAGGCTCGGGGGGCCTGGGTGGGGCCTCTGCGTTTGGTGGGCGATCCTACCCTTCTTTTACCGACACCCTACTCCAATCAGCAGCAGCCTCTTGCTCCTCAAGCCTTCGCTCCGCCCATACGGCCCACAATGCCCTCGGGCCCCTCATCTCTGAGGGTACGACCTCCACTAGCTACAAGAGTTTAGCCAATCAGACACGCAACGGCAGCTTGTCGTACGAAAGTCTGCTGACGCCCTCCGAAAGCCCAGAGTTTGAGTCTGCTGCTCACGAGCTGTCCCCACCCAGACCGCACCCTCTTAGCACAGCACCAGGGGCCCCGCCTATTTTGGGGTACACGTCCCCTTTCCTATCTGCTCAGCAGAGGGAGGGCTCTCTCCAGGCCTGCCCTGCCCCCCTAAGACCCTCCCCCAACAGAGCTTTCCTGCGCCCAACAAGCTCACCCCCTTCTCGGGCTCCACCCCTTTCTCCTCGCGCTCGCTCTTTGGGCTCCCCTCCTCCTGGCCCCGCCCCTGGCCATACATCTCTGGGCAAATCACTGTCCTATGGAGGTGGCGCCGAGTTACAGCACCGCCCCTCTAGCTCAGGGGGCGGGACTCCGATGCCGAAGTGAGTAATGCCTGCAGATTTTAGCCGTCTCTCTCTTTCCCCCCTCAGAAAAACCTGCACGCCTGCGTGTGTGTGATGGTCAAGTAGAACATTGAGGTCAAGTGTTCGTGTTTGTATTCATTTGGTTTGGTCTTTCTTCTTCTCTTTGTTCAGTAACACTGTCTCTTTCTTCCTGCAACCCATGGCCACTCTACTGTCCCTCGAATTTCTGTTCACACCCTCCATCTTTCTATGTCCTTTTTCCTTCTCTGCTCTCTTTCTTTACGTTCATCTGCTCTGTTCTGCCCTCCCCTCCTCCTGCCTTGTGGCCGTAAGGATGACTCTGTCTCTGTGCTAAGGTTCGTCTTATTATGCTTCTGTAATTTTGATGTCTTAAAGGTCAACATGAAAGTGAAATTATTTACTTGCTTAATACATTCAGAGTTTTAGATTAGTGCACATGAAAGTTAAGAAAAAAAAAGCTTTTCTCATAAAAAAAAAAAACACTAAAAAAACTTTTTGGCCGACATTGCCAAGGCAGGGTGGATTATTTATTGTGTTAACCAATAGACAAACAGATATTTAACCATTGTTTTAGGCTACTGTTCTAGGTCAAATAGCCTTTCTAAAATCTTAATGTGGTATTTTCTTGTTAATATAGAGTGCTGCAGTGATGGTGTATTTTTGTAGGCCAACATGTAAGTTTGCATCACTCTTGGTTCCCCTTAAAAAAAAAAAAACAGTAGTTTCTGTTGGGTTTTGGATTATTGCAGAAAATAAGCTCTGCAACCAACAAAAGTTTATTATTGTTACATGTTTCATTCATCGTGGTAATCTTCACAAATTAATAAAACTTGTGAATTTTGTAGTCTAAAAACAGTCGGCAGAAGTAAAAAGCTAAATGTAAGCTATAAACACTGCTGTCGCATATCTGCAAACTCGCTTCCAACAACTTTTTCAGTCTTCTATTTAAAAAAAAAAAAAGGTCTCAAAGTTTGAATTAGAATAGTTTGCAAGAGAGTGATTATAAACACAAGTCTGTAAAAATGGACTAGTGAGTAGATGAGTTTACCTGTTCAGTATGATGACATTTAATGTCCCGACAACCTCTGTAGTCCCTGTTAGTAACCGTCTTTATCGAGAGAAGTAAAAGTTTTTTTAAAAATGACAAGGGGTTATTTTATGTCACAGAATAAAACCTGAAAATCTCCTGCTCTTGTGTTAACCTCAGTCCTTATTTCAGGCATTTAACCAAAAACATTTTTGGCCTACAAAAATACGTATTTCCCACAGCACTCTGTTACCAGGGCTTCAACAATATGTGTGAGAGGATTTTGGGCAACTTGGTGGAACTTGTATATCCATATTTTTTATGCTTTGAAAACGTAATGTTTTTCTGGTTTTCTGTGAGGTATTTTACATTGTTGTGAATTTTGCGGATTTGTCACCTAACTGGCTAACAGTATGCCATTGTTTTCTGGTACAAGAGTGTTTTATGGTTACATTTATAGCTGTATAATTTCCAGATTGTTGTATTTTTTTTATTAAATGTATTTTTAATATTAAAATATTTTGTAAATATTAATAATAATATAAAATACATTGCTAAAAATAAAATGTGGTCATTACTTTGGGCCAGTGAACAGTTTGCCAGGGCGTTGAGGGCAAGTGAAACAGAACTGACCTTTAGAACTGGCCAGGGGGGAAAAATCCTTCCTCTTGAGCCCTGGTGATTATTGGTTACAACGATAATAGCAATTTATACATTTGAAACAGAATACAGTATGTCAGAATGCTCTCAATGGTAAAAGTGATCGTAAGCTTCCAATCGTTTGCCGAAAAAATCATTTCACAATATTATGGTAATAAAGTGGCTTGTGAATGTCGATTCATGTTGGCTTTAAACCTACTTTGCGAATGTCTTGCTTGCGTTGTCTCTGTTACCTTTAATACATGTATCCCTGCAACACTTTCAATGCATCCATAGTGTTTTTGGTTAAATTATTAGGCTTTTTCACATGCATCCTTTTTAGGTTTACTTATATCTCTCTCTTTTTTCCCCCACCAACCATTAGCTCAACTATTAAACAAAACGCAGCCAATCATAACACCCACTCCCACAAACCTGCAGGAGGGGTGAAGAAAGTGACTGGTGTTGAAGGAACGACCTATGAGATTTCAGTATGAATGTCTGACACAAAAGAATCCGGATCCACTCTGCAGTTTTTCGCCTCGATCAGATGGATGTAAAGCTGCTCAACCACACATGCAAAAAAGCATACAAGACTACAAAGAAAAATCCTAAGTGTTTCCCAGTCCAACTTTATCAGTCGCTGTGGAGGACATACACTGAGAACATGGGCCAGTGAAGACGAATCTTACAGCATTTTGTTTTCTGAATATCAATATGGTACAGAAATACCACAGACTTTCTTTTTTATTTAAAGAATCATTTGGTACATCAATGTATTACCTACCGATTTGTACGCAAGACTGTCCAATGATCATAGTTGGGACCATGTGAGACACACTGATGCCTCATTCAGAATGACCTCAACAGAAACCACAAGCCTCTCAGCAGTCCGCCAATAAGCATACATAAATCACTGTTCAGTCTGGCATATTCTATAGCGCTCAGTTTCAAACCCTTAAAGAGACAGTTCACCAAAAATGAAAATTCTGTCATCGTTTAACACCCTTATGTCATTCCAAACCCATATGACTGACTTTCTTCAGTGGAACACAAAAGAAGATATTTTAATGAATGTTCACACTGCTCTTTTCCAGACAATAGTGTCCACATGCTTTCCAGCTCCAACAAAGACAAAAAAGGCCATAAAAGTGGTCAATACAACTATTAAAGTCTTCTAAAGCAGTGGTTCTCAACCACTATGGGGAAACTTCCAAGGGGGCCTCAAGATGAATTAAAATGATTTAAAATTTTAAAAAAATAAATTGAGTAAAACGAGTAAAAATCAAGATATTTCTTATTTTAATTCACCCACCTTGAAGAACCAGGATTCCCACTGTCTTAAAAAATACCTTGATGTACTGTATGAGGAAGCCTAATTTTTAAATGTGTGATTTCTAGACCTGGAAAAGTCAAGAAAATCAATAAACTCTTATAACTCCATGGGCATTTTTAGAATGAATGTACATTTTTAGCCAAGTTTAAAAACAATCCTTATCCTCAATCATTATTGAGAAAAACTGGAAAAGTCATTGGGCTTTTGAAAATTTAGTGGACAATGGGAGGCTTTGGAGTCCAAAAGGTTTGAGAACCACTGTTGTGAAATCATATGATAGCCGACAGATGCAAAATGCAACAATTGTTGTATAAAACGTTAATGTGTGCTGATCACAGAACTGTCATTTTTGGGTGAACTATATCTTCTTCTTTTTTTCTTCATTATTATTTTATACAGGTACAGATGTATAAGTATTAAGTTTGATAAAGAACATAATATTAAGATGCAGGCATATATGATGTATGATTGTTTGTTTTAGGTTGGATGGTGTTTGTCAGATTTATATGGCTGCATCAGCCAGATGAAATTCTCAGCCAATGGGACTCAGTCTGTTTGACAGATAGCACACTCGGCAAGTAGGAATGAATGTATCTAAAGACACACAAGTTACTAGAGCACAACATATTAAGCAAAGATTATTTACATTACGTACTGAAGATATCATATGCAAATTGTAACTTTGTGTCGGCGTGTCCACCAATCAAGAGCCATACTCTCTTGACACATGGTCAGCCAATCACAAGAGAGTTTATTTATTCAGCTAGAGGAGGCCAGTGCAAGTACATGCTGGATGCACCATCGTATTGATTTTGAACATTCATTTTTTATGTTATTTTAACTTTTTTTAAACTGGACATTGGTCAAATGAACTGCCAGAGTACAGTGATTATCTCCTCATAGATATATAAGTTTGATTGTATTTGTCTATGTGAGAGAATGAGTGTGAAATTTTATTTGAACTTACCTGACTGTTGTACAAGATCAGAAGTCGTTCACGTCTTTTGTCTGCTTTTTGAGGTCTGAGGACCAGCGACCGGTCAGAGTAAGATAGAAACCGCTTATGCAGAGACTCATGCAAGGTTTTTTTGTTGTTTTTTATCTTTTGTCATTTCCACCATGGCCTTATGATGCCTTTTTAAACTGTTCTCAAGGGTATTTCAGTATGTGTAACTGGCTCTTAGAGATGACAGATAGAGAATTGTTGTGTTGAGTTTTGGGTAAGAATGCAGACTCGTTTAACCCTTCTGTATTCTGAGTCACATGAGCAACACATTTTCAACAGAACAATAAACAACAGAACGAACATAAGCTGGGTTTTCTCATTTTATATTTCAGTACTATTTTGTCCTGATGTGTCTGATAATCAGAGGCTGGTTAAAGTGTAAATGAATACTTGTTAGAGAAGAGGGTAAAACATTCAGTACAGGCACCCGTCTCGCTAATAACAAACACCATCTGCAAACGCATCTCTTGTTTAGGAGAATTCAGCAGTAACTGGTGGTTTAAGTACTTTTGGGATTTGGTTAAGTACACAGGGTAATCCTTTGGCAAAAGCCACTAAGGCTGATACAAGTCTTCTAGTTCAGTACCTCTCTGAGGTCAAGGAATATGCAGACAGAAGCCTCAGGAAGCTACGAAATAGACTAAAGGAAAATAAAAGGATTTCTCTCAAAGCAAATTCTTGTAGAATACTCTAAATTAAATTGATTATGAATAAAATATAACATTTTTGCCATTCATTATTGAGTAGTTCTTGTATATGGAGGCCCAAACCTGCATAAATTAAAAATAAATACATAAATGTAATAATAGGAAAATAAATAAAGGAATATATGACTTGTTAATACAAATGCAAATTTTTTTTTTTACTTAAATGTAGTCCTATTTTTGTTTTGTTTTCTTTAACTTTATTTTTTATTTATTTCATTTATTTTTATTAATTTATGTATTCATTTATTTTTATATTTTACCCTCCTATGTATTTATTTCCATATTTATCTCCATACTTACAGAGAAGTGAGTAATACAAAGAACAAAATAAAGAATTTGTTTTTTTGTTTTTGTTTTTTACTGAAAAATATACAGTTGCATTTGTGTAGGAGAGGTAAGCGATAACATAAGCAGAGATATTTAACATTTAAAAATATCATAATTATTCTGGTTAATATAAAACAATTCATTTTGTGCAGTACTTTTCTATCTGGTAAAACTGTTTAGAGAAAAATATATTACAAAAAAATATGTACAAAAATCTAAATGATATGTTAACAGTTCAGTTGTCATAGTCAAGTTCTGTATTAATATAAGACAATGACAAGTTAACTGCAACCAATACAATGTTAAACAGAACTTCATGTTTACTTAATGAGATAGTTCACCTAAAATTTGTAATTCTGTCATCATTTATTCACTTACACGTCATTTTAAACCCTTGTTTTTTCTTCTGCGGAACACAGAAGTTCTTTTGCTTATCATTAAGTTCCATTTTATGGACAAAAATATCTTCTCAAAATATGTTCCACGAGGGTGAATAAATTATTATTATAAATTAATTTTTTGGAGTGAATCTCCATCCCTTTAATAAAAATGTATATCCATAAGAATCAAGTACACATCAGTGGATCATCACAGCCCAATGTCGTGTCTGATATGTACCGCATTACAGGTTGAATTGTGTGGTAGGCAGGAGCTTGTTTTACATATAACCATCACCTGAAAGTAGAGACCTGCACTCCCGCGGGACCCAACGCAACAGGGTGCGGCGCGGGCCAACTCTTGATGGGCGAGTGCGGGTGCGGGCGGGAAGAGACTCTTGTGTGTGCGGGATGCGGGAGAATAAAATGATTCGCGGGACTCCCGCAAAATAGAAATTATCTAAACATAAAATGTCTAAAACATATAAATTGTTATTTATGTGTTGCACAAAAGCAAAAAGAACAACGAATAACGTTCAAATGATTAACGCGCAAGCTAGGCAGAGTTTCTATTTATAACACGTGTTTAAAGCGTTGCGCAATGTAGCCAATCACAGACTCAGCTGTTGATTTCTGGAACGCAATGGCCAATCAGAGGTGATTAAGTTAGAATCTACTCACCGCAGTGCTGAAATTGCGTGCTAACGAACTGTCTCATTTCAACACACAAAGTGTAGACATTATGAAAGATTCTTTGTCAATATGTTCATTGTGTTATAACAGAGCGTTATGAGATCGCGATGAACTGAGATGTCAGCTTTTAGTGATAATAAAGGAAGCGCTGCTCGCATTCTGACATGCCAAACCATGCACGCAGCAGCCCATGCTTGCTTTTCTGTTAAAAATAACAGTGGTTTGTGATTGTGAATGTTGATGCTTAGCCTAAATAACAAATATATTTTATCGGGAGCATTTATGCTGGGATGTTGTGTATCATAGGAGATGTTACAGAACCATTTAATGTAAATTTCTTTGATGTGCTGAAAAAAAATCTATATAGATTACTTTTATGCGGGATTTTGCGGGCGGGAGCGGGACAAAAGATGAATGTGCGGACGGGAGCGGGCCAACATAAGATATTTTTCTGCGGGAGCGGGACTGAAAAATCCGTCCCGCGCAGGTCTCTGAAAGCATGACAAGCTGGTGCGACTGGTAAAATTACTGAGCAGTTACTGATGTTGATGCTTCCTTGAATTGCCAGTTAACTGAAAATAAAATGTTTAATAAACATACATAAAATCAGCTAGATTAAAAAAATAATGTTGCCAACCACTGGCAACCAACCAAGAGCACTAATACATATTTCAAGCAATCTAACGCTCATTTTATTCAAAGTGAGTGCAAACAATTACAAACACTTCATCAGGGGGCGTAAACGCATGCTGATCCGACAGCTGGCAGTACCAGGCAACTAGTGTCATCATCTATCTCTCTATCCTTAAACATGCCAAGATCCTGTCTGCCAGTGTGCTTTAATATTACAGCATTGAAGCTCTGCCCTGAAGACGGTCAGCCAACACAGACAAACAAAAAGACCTCAGACGCTTGTGAATGCAGACACAGATCAGTCTCATTCACAGATGGTGACTACCAGAGATGGGAACAGACAGTCTCAGAGGTTGAAATGGGAATGAAAGTGAGGAGGAGGAGGCTTACGTTTTCTTCTCTTTGTCTTTTTTGAAGGCAGAAGAGCCTTGAAAAGACTGGAGGGTTTCAGCAGCCACTCTCCTGCTGTAGAAGGTGTTCATCTCCTCCTCTAAATCTCTACGCTTCTCCTCTAGGTTCCTCTTCTCCTCCTGATGTGTTCGTTTCAGCATCTCAAATCTTTCATGCAGCTTGGAATACAGAACAAGGGCTCATTTACAATCTTTTACTTTATTTTTTGTTTTATTATTTCAATATAAAAAAATTTAAATTCCATTATTATTTAACCAATTAACAGCACTAGTTTATAATGCGGAGATACTTGCAATTGTGTGTATTTATGTATTTACTTTAATCAAAAGGAGCTTATTTTATTGTATTATATTTTTTATTTATTTTAATAAAAGGTGACGCTTTTGAAGATTGTTTTATTATTTACTAAAATGTGACGAGTGTTTAAATATTTTTTTTAATAAAAAGTGACAAGTATTTAAATATTTATTTTAATTAAATATTTTATTATTTAATAAAGAGTTAATTAATTTTAAATTAATAAATACTTATTTAAGATTGTATTTTGTTTTATTATTTAATAAAAACGGGCAGATATTTAAAATAATTTATGTTAATATTTAAAAGGTGACAAGCATTTAAAGTTTTTTAGTTTATTTAATAAAAAACTTAGCATTTTTATTTTTTAATTTAATAAAAAGTGACAAGTGTCTAAATATATTTTTTTTTTAAATAAAAAGTGATAAGTATTTAAATATTTTATTATTTAATAAAAAAGTGACAAGTATTTAAAGATTTTATTTGATCATTTAATTAAAAGTGTCAAGTATTACATTTTCTTTCTTATTATTTTTCTCCAAAGCAGTGTCTGTACTAAAAGCAGTTATAATGTAATTTTACATGACATAAATTAAGGCTTGTACAAATATAATTTTGTCCTGAGTTAATACAAAAATATTGTCAAATCCAGTGATTCTTACCTCTCTCTCCTTCTCTTTTAGTTCTGCTTCTGTCTCCTTCACTTTGTTGACAAACATCTGTCTCATCTGCTCCTCCTTGAGTTGTAGCTCACCAATAAATTCTCTCCTCTTGGCCACATATGTTTCCCGCAGACTGTGTGTGAGGACATATAACTATGATGACTATACAATTTAGAATGAATTCACTGCCTCTTTTGTAACATGATCTTCTTAACAACAAGTAGCAGCATTATGTAAGACATCATGAGCTGTGGAAGTGTGTTGCAGTACCTGAAGGGTTCGCTGTCAGGGTTGGTGTCTTTGAAGCCCATCTCCTCCAGTTTGCAGCGGCGGTACAGCTCATAGTGTCTGGCGTGGGTCTGTTCCCTCAGGTCCGATATGTTGACACGAATTAGCATCTCTCTCAGCTTTACAAAGTCACAGTGACTCTCGTTCTCCACTGAGGACAAAGCCCAGACAACATAACTTCACTAATAATCTGGTGTAGTTCTCATAATGCCTGCTACAGTAATCAAGACACCGTCTGCTGCTTGTTTTGCGTTAATATTGACAAACTACTACAGGATACACTGTGATTATACCAGCAGCCATTAATAGAAATAAATATATCTTGCAGTGGATACACTTTTGATTAATTTAATGCATTCTTGCCGAATAAAAATGCATTCTTGCCTTGCATTGCCCAATTTGTCCATTTTTGTCTAACTTAAAGTAAGACAATGATAAATATCTTTATGTTCAAGCAGCACTACCTACCCTGTACCACTCCCCATGGGTACTCTCTGGCTCGCACCATTTCGTTCCCAATTTTAACCTCTTCACTGCTTCCAATCACAGCAAAAGGGAGATGTGCCTGCAACACAAGTCACTGGCTCAACATTAAAGGTGTCTAGGAGCATATATCTATTCTGATCAATAGCAAAATTGTTACAAAACATATATCTGAAATCATAACATCATATATTTGAACTTGAGCTTCTCTTACATTCATAGAAGAGTTTATTTCAGCCACAGCTTCGTCATCTGTTGGGAACTGGTAGATCTGAACACCATTGCTGACCAGTTCACGCATGATCTTGATCTTAAACTTTTGAAGCTCGTTCTTGGATATAGTGTCTGCCTTCGCTATGACGGGAATAATGTTGACCTGGTTGGGAAGACAATATATGGATATACACTAATTCTACAATTCTATGTATATAACTTAAGATTTCATGAGGTAGTATATATAACATACACTTTGTGAACAATGTACCTTGCTGTCCAGTTTCTTCATGGTAACTAAGTCCAGAGATTTCAGTGAGTGACCGGTGGGAGAAATAAAATAGAGGCAGATGTGGATGCGTGAATCATGATAGTTGTAAAGGGAGCGTTTAATTTTAAGCTCTTCTTCAAGGAAGTTTTCAAACTGGGAGTCAATGTAGTCCACAATAGGTTTATAACTACAGAGAAACAAAAGAAAGTTTAGGATCTTGGTACTTCATTATCAATGTCACTGGGTTACTGAAGTCTCAAGCATTACCTTTCTTCTTTATTAACCTGGTCGCCAAATCCCACAGTGTCTACAATGCTTAGCTGCAAATCCACATTGCTTTCCTGCAGGCTGTATGTTCTGTGGCGTAAATGCACCCCGCTCTGGAAGTGGCTGGCCTCTTCACTCTCGAAGGTTGTGTTAAATAGTGTGTTCATTAATGTAGATTTGCCTATGCCAGTTTCACCTGTAAAAGAGGGCACATTCTTGCAATCTTTCGCATCAATTTTAATATTTACATACCAGGTCTGCAGAATCTTAAAAGCACTTCTTTCTCACCCACGCAGAGAATGTTGAAGCTGAATCCTTGGCTCACTGATTTGCTGACCAGCTGATCAGGAAGACCGTCAAAACCGACATGACCGCTGAGAGAGAGAGTCCTCATCTCCTCACTCTGAGATCAAAAAAGTTTGACATGACATACCAGAAAAATTTGATAGTGTCATGAATAATTGCTGCAAGTGTCTTTGTAAAAATGTTTTCACAAAATGATATTTTAGTGAATTTAATTAAGCAGAGAACACCTAACATTTATTTTTGTTTGCAAAAATAATAATGGCTTAATAATCAACTAAACAGTAAATCTATAAATGTATTGAAGTTTACTAAAGTAAATAAATACAATTACATTTACATATTAAATCTAATAATATATATATATATATATATATATATATTTGTTAGTGAATTTAAGCAGAGAACACCTAACATTTATTTTTGTTTGCAAAAATAATAATGGCTTAATAATCAACTAAACAGTAAATCTATAAATGTATTGAAGTTTACTAAAGTAAATAAATACAATTACATTTACATATTAATTAAATCTAA